CTGGCCTCTTACTTCTGGAGGGAAAAGCACCAGGCTTTTCAGTACAAGGCAATATCAAGTACAGCTGTTTGAGACAGGACTTGTCAAGCACTGCATGCATGCAGCTGTATTGTTCTTCCTCACCCAATCTAGCTCACTCAGGGCTCTTGAATTTGCCATGATTACATACCCCAAGAGTTTGTCATTTTATATGACTTCCAGTTAAACAATTTTATCTGCTTTTCTTGTATGAAAGTACTCATTACACTGTTTTATGACAGCCTAGTGACTGAAGAACTGCTTCTTGGATTAGGAAATATGGATTAGGAAAAAGACATGATGAAAGCTAGTTGAAATAATCCATCTTTGGTTAATTCTGCCAGCTACTCACTCGTGCCCTCTTCCAGGTTTGTTTTTTCTACAATAATCATGGATTACTGCTGATACAGTATTATCTGTAGCATTTTAGATCATTTCTTTGGGACCTCAGAGGACTTTATATTCTCTCATTTTAATTATACATACACAGTATAATGTAGGGATTTGGAGATAAGACGGCATGAGGCCTGGGACTGCTTTATTACATAAGAAAGAACAAATACTGATTTATTTACTACCTAGACAAGAACACTGAAAAGAAATAACATAGTAAAAATCTGTGCTCAAGTATGACTGGTCTTTGGATCCATCTGTTCACAGTCCCTTGATTGTTCCCATTCTGTTCACATGCAGCATCTCAGGCTTTGTCAGCTCTGGGCCCTCGCAGGGCTCTGACCTGTGATCAAAGAACAGTGAAGAGAGGCACAGAGCAAAAATATCTGTGCTTTCCAGACAGTGTAGTGGGATGCTGTGTGTACTGCGGATTGAATGACCTCTGTCATTACAACTTCCTTTATGGCAATAATATATATTATATATCTTTGCATGCCACACCAGCAGAATAATCTTGACCATCGTAGTGAACTCTGGAATATCCTTTTATCTGCACGTCATTCCATGCACATAGCTAAAGAAAACCCCCTCTCACTATCAAGCCTGTCATGCTACCTGGAAAAACAACTGGAAGGCACCAAAAAGATAGGAAAAAAAGAAAATTAGGAGAAAAGGAAACCAGCAGTAAAACTGAAAATGTACTTATTCAAGGCCTCTACCCCAATCCTGCGTAGTGTCAGCCAGAAAACAGGCTGCAGAGCAGATGCTGATTTAACAAGTAAAGAAACTGAAATTATGTTTTACAGGTATGCATGGCAGGGAACAAGGGAGATGTGAGAACCTGCTTGTCATGTTGCTATTGCCTAATTAAAAACTAGTAGTTATTACTCCCATTAGGGATGCTCAGTGAAGCCAGTTAAACACTGTTTTCTGAAAGTGAAGTTCTTTGTTTTGACTTCATGTCACCTATAAGTGCTAGACAATCAGATCTAGAAAGCCACAGATGTACCATTCAGAAAAGCCTGATGTCCTCCACATACTACACATGAAGCAGAAGTCAAACCCTCAGAGATGGCCACACTATAGAGGAACATCACTCTTCTAGTAAGGTTGAGCACTTCCCTCTGTTTAAAAGATTACACAAACTGTTCAAAAATCCATATTCAGTTTGTGTTGCAACCTGCTGAGCCTCCAGTGCACCTGAAATAAATTCAGAGGCCCAACCGCTTGAGCAAAATAAGTTAAATCCTTGCCACTTTCCCCTCAGAATTTTTTAGAAGGCATTGGAAAAAATGCCTGATTAGTTTAACTATTAAAAAAGAAAAAGTGTGTCTTTAATCTTTCTCAAACACATTTTAAACATGTATGGCCTCACTGCCCCACTGAGGAAGCAGTATTTCCAAAAATAAGGACAGATCTTCTAAATCCATGTTGACACAAGTTAAGGAGCTGAGTTAAGGTTAAGCATTGAAGTGCATTAAGATTTGAGCTTTGTTGACAAGTTGGGTTTCAGGTAGTCTGTTATTACAGAAACAAGAGACCTCAAGGCAACAATCCCCTGGCCACTGAAGTTAACTTGTGAATTACAGTCCTAATGCCAGCTGACTCTAGAGGAAACAATAATCATGGACCACACAGCACCTCCTGCTGTGGTGAGAGGCAGAAATTTTGTTCTGAGTCCATAGAATTTCTTATTTAGCAATAATATCTCGAAGTGCCATAACATCCAGAGGCAGGCACTGATTTTATTTCAAAATAATAGCTGTGGAAGCAATCGTTAATTAAAATGAGAAAAGATGAAAGTAAGCCGCTGGAATGGTACGATGTGACTGACAATATTTACAGGCGCCCTTAGCAGTGGAACGAAATGCAGTGACAGGCAAGCGCATGGCTTGAACCTTTGCCCAAGGCACTCCTGGCCTCTGAACACATGGTGTACACACATTTTCAGGCTCTTACAAGGGTTATTTTCTATAATATCATAGACAGAGGGATAACTTCAGCTATGTCATTCTCCAACTTAATTTCCTGAAAATAGTTCCGCCCGTAAAACCACAGGCTAACTCAAGGATAACAGTCCAGCCTCCTCTACCAAAGGTAGGATAGAAATGAAGCAGCAGTGATCTGAGATGACAAGTACTCAATTTTCTTCCTGCAATTGATATCTAAATCCTGAATAGTATTTCTATCCATGTTATACTATTTTCATGAAATCAAAAAATTTACCCCATACACACACAGCTTCATGTACTGAACAGATGATTTTTCTTTTTTTTTACATCAGATATTGCTGTGGAAGAGCAGGAAAACCAGCTCTTTTTAACATCTTTATGTCTCTTTGGTGTCTCTAAGGTGCTTCATTAAAGATTTATTCCTATAAAGCTTTTACAAAGACTGCATCGACAATAATCCACATGGGGGATTTAGACAGGGTTAATTAATATTCTGAACCAAAGAGTAGTGTGACATTGTGTCTGGGTGTCCTACTGTATCTTAATTTCATTTACCTAAATGGGGACTACTGACGCCTGTCAGATTTCTCTACCCAGTCGAAGAAGCAAGAAAGTAGCTCTGTGACATGCATTAGGCACAGAGTAGCAGAAATGCAAAGCAGCATTACTGACTCAGCTGACTGTATATACAGCTATGAAGTACAGATGGCTTTTATGTCAAAGGGTGACAATATTATTTCATTTTCAAATCATCTTATGCACACACTGCTACAAATGTGATTGTCCAGTGAACAGACTGAGCAGAGCTAACGAAAAAAACCAACCAAACAACAGAAAACCTACCAAAGAGCCAACTAGCTACCAAGGATTCATGACTGCCCTCTGTCAAATACTAATGGACATTTTTCTTCTTGAGTTTCACCAATCATTGCAATTCAAGGAAAAAAAAAAGCAACTCAAGCCAATGCAGAGCATCACCTTGAAGCTAACCTTCCGCTTTAGACAGTAAAGCAAATTCTCAGAGGCGAGTTACACTACACTTCACTTGCTTATTTCAGGAGCATTTCCTATACTTTGTTATTGTGTAGGAGACCTGGGCAGAGACAAAGCAAAGCTTCCCAAATAGCAACATTGGGAAACTATAAAGCTGATCAAGTACAAAAAGGTGTCGTGTGCACAAGGTGGACATAAGAAAAGAGAAATTATTACTCCTTTTTAAGGTCTTAATAGGATTAGTTTTAACAAAAGACCATAAAACATTTTTCATACAGTAGCTTGACTTTAAAAATTTATTTGAAATGTTCCAGCAAAGCCTAAAACATACTGAAAGCACAATACACTTCAGTGAGCTAATTCTAGGTGCTTTGCATTTCGATAACACTTCTTCTGGGAGGGTTTCCAAGTAGTTAAAAAAAAATCAATTAATTAAGGCTCTTGAGTGAGGAAAGTCTATACAAAGTTTATACTCTGGCTCATAAAAAGTAAAACATTCATCCAAGGACAAACACTAACAAATAGTGAAAATCCCTTGACTTCCTGGTTTACAACCTGTTCACTCAGCTAAACAATTTCAATATTTCACCCAAGATAAACAGCTATAATATGAACTGTATGTTCCAGCTGCTCTATACAAACTATAAACTTACCATTCAGCAAATGCAAGCTGTTCCTGAAACTTTCAGTATGAGACATGGGATAATGGGATCACTCCCATTCATGAAGTGACTTGTGAGCACAAGAATTTTCAGGGCTTGGGGAAAGCATCAATGAAGAACTCAAGGCAACAAGTGCTCAGGCGCTCCATGCTTCTGCAACATGCAACTATTAGTCAGCGGTGTGACCTGCTAACTACAACATAGTAAGGCGTACATATGGTCCTGCACAGCTGGTGCAGAGGTCAAAAGAGCTGTTATTTTCCTACATTTTTCCCCCCAAGTACGTTCCTTGAAAAATACCCAGAGCAACAGAATATTCAGAATGGCTATGAGGAAGGATGAAAGTCCCATTCATTAAGTATGACTGATCTGTTGCACAGCTGTTTTCACAGCATAAGCTGGAAAACTCCAGTATAATCAACAAGACATCTTAACCTCCAGAGTAGCTGTCCTTTAAAAACATAAATATATTGCGCATCTACATCAGTTTGCTAAAGGTCTATCAGTACTTTAAAAATACTATCATCTTGTTTGTGGTCCTAAAGACACACACAAGAGAAAATTCAGTGAGACTATACACATTCCTTTTGAGAGAGTTAGAGCCATTACTGAATTAAACTTCACAGATTATTTCACAGTAAAAAAAGAAAAACTAAGACACAAAAGAAACTTACTCAAGACTACAATCCTTGCCAGGGGAAGAGTCAGGATAATCCTTGCCCAGCCACTTGATCACTGCTTCTCATTCTGAAAGTTCTTCAAGAATATCACTACTTCTATGTATGTTATAGAAAAGTCCCCTTAAACTGCTTTTAAAAATCTATAGGTATCACAATACATAAAAAAGCTATCAGTAGTGCAGATGTCTGTCTACTCTAGTATTTTAGCGTAAATAGTGAGAACCCTACCCTACACAACAAACTGTCTTATTTTGAACTTAACGATATACATTAAATGCACAGACAAACAAACAAAAAAATACCTGGTGAGCTCTTCTTTAATCTTCAAGGGTTCATGTGGGTAGAATTTCACTCTAAAGCACATGGTATATGGTGGATGAGCTGAAACATTATAAAGAAAAAGCATGAGAACAGTAGCAAACAAACATTGCCTCAGCCACTCTGAAGGAGTGGCCTCCGAGAGTCTTACAAAAGTAGCCTGTGTGATGGTTAGCTCTGAAGCATCAGGCAGGGATTCAAACAAAACCAATAAATATTATATATACATATAAAAGGAATAGATCATATGACAAAGAAGGCCAAAGCACGTGCAAAATACACCTAACATAGGCAAATCAATTTATAAACAGTTTTGCATCTCACAAGACGTATTGCTTGATCTAAGAAGTACAAAATGCATTTGGGCTGCTCCTTTTTTTTGTTTTTTGGCAATTCATAAACAGGAACCAATTGCATCTTGTCACAATGAGATACAAAGGTGTTATGTATATTTGTTATTCCTGATAATGATAAAGCCTAGACTACAAAATGGAAAAAAAAATTCATTAAATTTAGCTAATGAAGCTGGAGACAACAGAACTGTTTCTGTTTCCTGTATTTAATAAGACTACATCACCTACTCCTGAGCTATGGTATAAATACCAGGCCTTAAGTACAATACTTTCACTTCTCAACACAAAGAAAGAAAGAAAGAAAGAGAAAAAGAAAATTGGAGTAACAGGAATCATTTCAATTCTGCAATCAGTGTCTCTCAGTTTTACATTAATGAACACAGCTTTATATACCACTGTTGTATCTTTGATAGCATTCAAGATACTACCTAATCCTAAACCAGTTGATCTTTCAGTGATTACAGAAGGGACAGAAAGCAAATTGAAGACTATTATTCTAATCAAAGAGGCATCTTGTGACAATCATGTTAGAATAACAGACATGTGGAGACCAAGTAGAAGGCTTAAATATATCACATCAGGCACAATACACAGGTAGGCAGAGCCCTCAGAGCTATATGTAGCCAGGTAATGTTCTTGTTTTAAATTCCAGTTCGAAGTAAGAAGGAAAATAGTGCATCTTCAAAAGGTAAATGGTGTGGGGAAGAAAACCACCTATATTACACAAGCCATGGTAACTGGCTGGCCCGCTGCTAAGAGCAAGAGAAAGCATGGGGTTAGAGCGAGCACCAAGGCACAACTGCTGTCCAAGCAGCAAGGGCCTCAGCACAGTAAGCCATGCAGGGGTCCTCTTTACCAAAATGTTTACCAGCACGGTCATTTCTAGATGGACATAAGTAGAGGGAAAGCTGAGGCTTCAAACAAAATGGGAATATGTGATCACTGTGCTCATTTGGGAGTGTCCTACAGACCTGAGTGCAGAATTATAATCCTTTTATTAAAATATTTAACTATGGAATTAACTTTCTGCATATTTACACTAGTACTCAACTTTTATAGACCCTTACTTTTCACAGGTTGGGGCTTGGGGGTTCTGCTTTGTTTTGTATGCAACTTTTATTTCATAGTAAAGGGCAGATCTATAATATTCTAGTTAGTTTTAAAAGTCCCTTAGTCTTAATGTATACTCAATGCACACAGACAATCTAACTTTCCTAAATCTTGAAGAGATGGTGCTTTTACAGGAGGAAAATAAGGGAAGGTAGAAGATGAGAGCAAAGAAAATTAGAGGGAAAGTGAAGGAATAGAACAGGTGAAACAGAGAATTAGTTGTTGTAATCTATAACAGTAATCACTAAGCTACCAGAACATTTTACTGTACCATCTCCTCGAGCTTACTAGCTCACTGGCTTGTATAAACTGCATGTGGAAATTAGTTCAACAATCATCATACTTTTCAAGCTACTTTGACCGCAGTGTTTACCTGTATGCTGCAGTTTTCCACAAACACATCTCTGGATATCACATAGTTCCATGTGATGTACAAAAGCAACAGAAAATAAAAATGCATTACATCTTTAGTTATGGTTGGTATCTTTTGGTGGGTTCAACTCCTTCTGGAGATGAAGGAATATTTTCCCCTTTCAAGACCTCACATTGCATGTTTTTAAAAAAAGGTCAGCCTCAACAAAATCTGCTGACTCACATTTTTTTACTTGTTTAAGTAACTACTCATTTAAGACACAAGGAGGAATGTCAGAAGACATGGGAATGGAGAGATTAAAAATACAGAAGAAAAGAAAGCAAAGAAACAATAACAAACAGAAACAAACAAGAGGAAATGGAGAAAGACAAAAAAGCCTTAAGCGTTTGCTAGGGATGGTTTGAACGTTCAAGCTAATCAAATCTGTACAAGCCCTCTGAAGGCAAGAGAAACACTCAGACTACTTTCTGTGGGCTTCAGTATCTTAGATGCGATGGCAGCATTGTCTTACAGTGACTGGAAATAGGCTGCAAAACAGAGGACGCTGTTAAGTCCTCCCTGCCCTGTAAAGGCAAAGTAGAACGTAAACTGAGTTCAGTGTCCCAGAAAGGGGAACACCCATCCAGAAATGCATGGAGTCATGTTGCCTGGAGAAGGCGAAAGATAACATAAGTCATCTTAAATGGTTCTGTCTCTTCCCAATAGCCTTCTTAAAACTAAGCAAGGGAGAAAAACTTGCACTTCCAGAATACAGTACCACTTACAAAATGTAAGACCCAGGATAGAAGACCCAACCTGTATTAAACGTGCTAGAGCTCCTCCTCAGCAAGAAAGAACTTTTAAATGTCCTGACAGATTTAGAAGTAGTTTGTGCTTGAAAAAGGGATGCAGAAATAAGAACAGCTCGTGCATGGCTCTGCAAGGCCCTAGCTAGTACAAGCCTACTGCAAGATCCTAAAAATGTACTGAATTTTACCCAGATTTTTGGATGTCAGTGGAAGGATTTAAACTTTGGCTGTGGAAAAAAGAAAGAAAGAAAAAAAAAACAACAAAAAGAGTTACAGTAGAAGAGCCACACTCTGGCAGTATATGGTAACCACAGAAAAGCTACAGCTGCCCCATATGCAAAGAGTATCATAGCAAGGAAAGGACAGCATACACTGCACTAAAAAACAGCCCAGATTCACTTAATAGCAAAGGTTATGGTATGAAATGTTTTCCTTGCAGCAAAAGGACAGTATGTGACAGAAGTATACACCTACAACCAATGCAAAGAATACACAGGAGGTTTGGCAAGGCAGTTTGCAGCCTACTTTTAGCAAACCTTTTCCTAGACTCAAGCTTCTATAACAATATTACTCCTCAGCAGTGCAGCAAGCAATACAAAACAAGGCTGCTGCAGCCTGCTAAACAGAGGTCCTTTCTCAGCAACACCTGCAAGAATAGCACAATCCCAACCTGCAATTTGAAATGTTAAAAAGAATATGATCCCCTCCATCCAGTTCATCTCTGGAGATGAAATAAGAAGGCATCCTGCAATTACAGAAGGAAACAGGATCCTCTTTTTCTGTTCATCTTCCCAGTTAGCAAACCAGCCACAAACAATGAATACTTGAAAGGAGAAGGAGGGAACCCCCACAGCTATCCACTTTCCTCTCCATCTTAATTTTAAAATGGATCATGAGCCTAAGGTTCCTCCAAAAATGCGTTTGATGATATGTAAACATTTAGTAAGGCCTTCATCTTACAGATTTTACAGCACTGGAGAAACACACATGAGACCCTCATATTCTCTCATTCACTATATTCTTGTAGTGGAAAGCAAGATAGGCAGCGAATTGTATCAGCTCAAGAGATGAGATCGTCAAACCAGACAATTCCTCAATTCCTTGAAAGCAAAATTACTTTCTACCACTTACTCACACATTAAAGTGGAAACATTAACCACAAACCTTCCCAAAACAGAACTCAGTTTGTAGAAGAACATTTCTTCAACACAGAACTAGTCTCAATATAATCAGTTTTATAATAGCTATAAGCCTTTTCTTTCAGAGTGGTCCTTTATCTGTCAGATAAGGAGCAGCTAGTATAGCAAAATGCCCAAGGCTTTGTCAGAATTTCCTACCATCACAGGCTTTGCTTTCTCACTAAAAAAGATTCATAATTACAATAATTTCAAAGGACTTTAGCATGGAAAATAGTATTGACTGAGAATTCCATTGCAATAGGGCAATTAATTTGCCAGTTTATGTGCTAACAGCACATAAGGGATGAAGGCAAAAGAACAAATAAAACCATTTAAATTATATCAAATGCTGAAACCAGTCATGATCTAGACCCTCATGAAGGAACTACACACACAGATGGAAGGTTTCCAGGCAAATGATTGTATGTTTTTAAGGTTTATTTAAGTTGCATTTAACTAAGACAAACTATTCAGTGTACCTGAAACAGTAAGGATCTCCTAACTAAAAAATCAAAGCTCTAACATCCTGACTAGAACAAAGAGGGATATGGGAGCTGCACCCCTTGGCACAGATACCTATGTGTAAGGGACTGAATCCTACATGCATTCATTTTTAAGAAAAGCCCACCATTTGTCTTCTGTGTAGATTAAGAGCTTATAGGGAATGATAAGCCTAAGAAAAACTACACATTCATATTAACATTTTCTTCATGGAAAGACAATTGGAAAAAGAAACAATTCATGTATTTATATTTATGTATTTATATTTATGGAAGCCAAAAATTTTTTTTTAAAGCTAGTGAAAAACTTCACTGAAGTTTTAGAAGTGCGAACCAAAGAGGGAGAAGGAGGGAAGATTCTCAGTTGCAACTTTTGGGAAGGTTTCCTGTTTGTTTTTAACAACCTGCTTTTCATCCAGCACAAATACTAGCTTCTGTAATGAGCTGTACTGGCAGTGTTGGTTTTTTTGATTAAACACGGAGTACAGATGGATACTGAAAGCCAAATGTGGATGTTTAACTTATCTTAATAGCCCTGAGAATGCAACACTGCACAAAAATTCCTACATCTCTCCTTGATGTTACATATTCTCCAAACTACACTACCCTACCAAAAGTTAGTTATCATTTAAAAAAAACCAAAAACATTCACTCAAACAGTCTTCATGTTCACTGATGCTGCAGAAGGATCTCTGGGGAACCCTAAGACATATGCTGTTGTTCCCATATACCTCTTCCCCTACCAAATGAATCAGCGGTTCATCCATACCACTTGCTCAGCATGTTTAAGACAGAACACTACTCAGTGTTTTTATTTTATGCATAAGAAATACCTGATCGATCATAAACCTCAAATTGTGGGGTCTTCTTCATTGCACTCAATTAGTTATGGGACAACACAGGGCAAGGTGGATTTTCATCAACCAGTTATAACAATGCTTTAAAGCATGTTATTAAATCTTCATGAGGATCATAGGTAAAGAATATACAGCATCCAGATTAATGCCTGAAGAATCACACAAAACTTCCTGTTTTCACTGTGCATGGATCTATAAGCCTCATATTTGATTAAACCCTTTTTCAGATTCGTACTGAGACATGAAAACTGATACGTTTGTTGAGATTTAAGAATCTTTAGAAAGTTTTGCACAACCCATCTCTGCATCTCGGTACTTGCTTCCCCTGGTTCATTCCATCTCCTTTCACATTTTATGACAGGATTAGAGATAAGGAAATTAACTTAACAAATTCCAATGGCCTGTCACAGGAGAACATCCTTTTTGCTTTACTCTCCCAGATCATCTGACACGCACGGCAGCAAGAAAAACATGTAAATTTTGAACTTGCACATCAGAGCAACAGAATTGATTCTGTTCCACTGTCATCAAGAACAAAACCCATGTAGTCAGATATTTCCCATAAAGCACATGACAGGATAGCTGCATACTTATTATACAGAATAACCTTTAAAATTAATGAAAAAAGAGAGAGGGAAAGTGCATGGGAAAACTTTGTTCTTTAGTTAAACATTAGTGCTGATGTGACCAGTAGGATTTACACCAAGACATTCCTAGACAGAAAAATACGTAAAAAAATGTAAGATGGACAAATGGAGAACTTTACTGTCAGCATCTGGGAGAGAATAACATGCAACAGAACAGAAAAACTGGTTTTAAAAGGACTTTATCTAGAACCACAAAGATGCAGCTACCTTAGGCAACCTTCCCGAGAGTTTTTCAACACACTGTTGGAAGCATGGTGCTCACAGCTACAGATCACCAGCCACCAATTGGCTTCAACCAGTACAAACAAGACTGGCAGTTGTTCAGGGCATTTCTGAGAGACTAAAATTTCCCCTTTCAGTCAAAATTAGTGGTAAAGATGGCTGAGGCACAGACCTAGACTTTACACAACATGTTATGATACAAACATTTCCGTGAAGATGGAAAATGCAAAGGTAGGTGCTGAGACAAAAAAAGATGTCATGCCTTCATTCTTCTTGTGTTGCATCAGGACACATTTAAATATGGTTTCATATGTGACAAGACAAAATAAAAAATATTTTGGAAGACTCCATCTTATTGCAGTATTACTAAACGTGAACTTAAAGCAATTTTTGCCAAAGCTAAATAAATTAAAATGGTAGCGCATCACACAAAAACCTATGCAGACTTCAGAGCTTCAAACACACAACATTCTATCCCACTGACAGAAATTTATAGCTGCCAAATTGTGATTTCTGTACAACCTGACTATATAGAGGGATTATGCCTAAGTGATTCATGTACTACTGAGGCCCATGAAATCTAGTACCTACTGAAATTTGTATTAGAACAGGCGTCCCAGTCATACCTTTTCTGCTCAAAATATTTGTCATTACTGAGCTGCACGAATAAATACACTGAAAACCTTGTTGCTGTGCAGGGGGGCAATGAAGTTCCCCATAAATGGTAGCTGAGATCAAGCATGCAGCATTTTTCAATTTCTGCTGCACATATGCAGGTGCTCTGTAATCCTATGTAAACTGAGCATTCACCTGAATTTCGAATATTTTGAATCATTAGTGTTAATACAACCTACTCTTGCATCAGAGGAAATGAAAGTCCATTCTTACAAAACAGATCATTTCACTGTTTTCTGAATTCCTTAATGGCAGAGAAAGAAAAGGAAACCTTCAGTTTTTACACTTTCCACCTGCTACTAATTTCAGTCCTCACTTGTGTCACCTGAGACTGTGATGTTTTTCAAATTAATATTGGTAATTTCTTCTTCTGAGTCTAAATCTTTTCACAGTAGACTGAATATTTTTAGATAAAATACAAATTAACCTTGTGTGCCTCTAGAAATTGTTTAGTGTTCTACATTAACATAGCATATTTTTAGAAAAATAAATCAAGAGGTTCCTGATGTGAAATGCTTACAAAAACATCCTTGAAACCTCTGGGAGCAAAAAATATATTTATGCATAATGTACATGGATTCTACACATATATATAAAATATATACATATATCTCCTTGTTTTGTTTCTTTAAAGGGTTATAGTAGCAACTGAAGTTCTTCATCTGAGACAAAAGATAAAGTTAGGTTACACCAGTATTAAACTGAAGTTGCTCATGAAAAGCCCATCACATAGTTAATTCTACTTCTGTGTCCTAAATCTAAGGCTGATAACAAAACACCTTTATTAGCATCTCATTCTTTTTTGTTGTTGTTGTTGAGACCTTTTCACCATGATAAATAACCTCATACTAGCTGCATTTTATTTTATTTTTTTCTATGCATTCATTTTCCAGCATTCAGTTTTGATTAGGATTCTACCCCAAAAGCCACACAAGTCCTCTGATGAGACCGTGACATCAGTACATCTATGGAATTTATAGAGTACCATTGATCACATCTAGGCAACATCTATGTGCAGGTAGAGTTGTTCTGAATAAATCAAAACACTCTTGGTGCATCTGTTGGCAGAGTTCCTGAATGTGTTGCTATGCAAAGTGCAACAAGACTCATGAGCCCATATGCTTTGTTGGGTAAAAGCAGTGATACAAATGCAGATGAGAGGATACTTTGAGGAAATTCAGTTCTACTTTTGGTAACACAACGGAAGGAAGAAAGTGATAATTTGTAATTATTACAGTCCCTCTTTTCTTCCTTCACTAGCATTGCAGAGGAGCACAACTTAGTTTTAGCTTGACATTCTTTTACTAGATAACACTCCAACGACCTAAACACTAGATATAAACAGTTCACACTGAATATGCTAGGTATATGTGTGCATGCTCATGTACATATGTACACACATATTGCAAGATACACTATTGCTGCATTAATGGAAGAATTTCTTGAAGCATTCCATGTAGTCCAGCCAACACTCAGGATTAACTGTTTTTACATATTAGACAACCTCTTAAGCCTCATCACATTTTAAAACATATTTGTTATCTCCCACACAAAAGACACATTTTATTTATGCTTAAAACAGAAAACAGCTGCATACAAAGGGTATGTGAGTAAAATTCTCCTTCATTTCATAAACTAAATATAGAGATAGACAACAGCTTTTATTAAACAAGACACAACTCCCAATGACCTAAATCAAGTCTCCAGAACTGCCAAATAAACACTGTCTTCCACTGCTGGAAATAAACTTCTGAGTATCAAAGCAGTTTTGTTTCCTGAAGAAATCTTCACAGTTGATCCATTTAATAGAAAGGATGAGCCAGACCATAACAGTTCAAAAAGATAATTAAAATAATACATTCCTATTTTGAGGAGTCTTTTTTAAATAACGACTGTAATTTTCCACTTGTCTGAGGCAGGAGGTCACCACTTAACCCATAGCACTTGAGTTTGCTGGACTGTAACAATGATCTCAAACCAATGGTCTCCATTGCCAGGAAGCAAGGGGGAAATGGAAAGAAAGCAAACTAGAAAGACCCAGAAGCAGATTGCCACGGTCCATATTTTATTGCCATCTCCCAGTGGGTAATTATGTCTGACTGAAAACGAGAGCCAGAACATAAAAGTCTTTGCACCGGATCTGCGACCCCACACACAACAGCTGGCCTCTGGCTCTAGCCTTGAGCAGTGAGGAAGAGCTCTTGATGTGCAGAGCACTGTAAGACAGTGAAATTGGGGTGGCATGGAGCTTTTAGGAGTCCAGATAGGACATGAAGGCCCTATTTGCACCAGAAGAAAATGAAGCATATTCTAAACTACTGCATGGAAGCACAGGAAAACCTCTGGGCATTTCAAAAGCAGTTTAAAAACGTGAGCTCTCAACACTTACATTTCATTTGCTTGAAGATGGACTTGTTGGGCTCAAGCCAGTGCTGGAAAGGCAAAGCAGAGAGCAGAGGTTAATACAGACCACAGCAGACAGCAACATCGTTGTAGATGTATGTGGTACCAAAAATAGGAAGTAGGATTTTGGTTTCAATGAAACATACAGACACAGGAAAAAGCACCTCCCTACTGTTGTAATACTGGAATTGCACCGTATAAGCATACTTGATGTTACCAGTGCTTATAAGATGTCGTTGAGACAAAAATAAGACAAATATTTCAAAGACAAATTTAAAGTAGAGAGGCTCTAGTGATTAGTTTGCAGCAGACATCTCAGTCTTACACTTTCAACCATTTTTTTCCAGAAGAATGATCATACTGGACAGGAGGACAGACTATTCAGAAACATTAACATCATCTGTTCATTAACGCTGTCTTCTATAGTTCTTATAACTAAAGCATGTGTAAATACTGTATTCTCAGTCAGCACCCTCGGAACACAAGCTATTGTTCTCTTCTAGCAAGAACTAAAAATCTGAAGGGAAAAAGTGTATTTTTCCATTAAATGTTTACGCTACGGATAGTCAATGCACAACAGAGAGGTATGGAAGCCTACCAGTTGGTGTAGAACTTTCCAGGGAAAGACTGCAATGGCAGGAAAACTTTCATTTTTTTATTTTCCTGGAAAGTAAACTCAGGAGCTTCTGTGATGAAAAGCTAGGCTCACATTTTAGTTAAGAGCCTTAGCACAACCCCTGCTAACACTAGCTGAACTCTTCAGGAGGATGTTTTGATTGACAAAAGAACAAGTGCCAGTTCTGACCACAGCCAACAGCGTTTGTACTAGGATTTTTCCTGCAAGCAAAAAATCTCCACACTAAAATGAGATTTGTGCTGCAGAAGCAGCTCATCAAAAAGCAAAGTATTCAACTTTAATAAGCATAATCAACACTGGAAGGCCTTGCACTAAGGGGTTTCTTTTTTAACCCTTTTCATTCTAGCTCTAAATCCCTATGGTCTACTGCAAAAAGAAAACCTAGCATTTTTTAAACCATATGTAGTACTTAAAATATCCTACATCAACTACTATTTTTCCTCATAAATTAGAGTAATTCTACTACAGAGAAAGGCCAGGGGAAGATATTTTATAGGAATTGTTAATAGGTGACAGAAAATTATTATGTAAAAAATCATGACATCTCAAGAATTCAGTCAAAATCATGGGTAACTGTAAATTAGTTTTCTGGAACATAATTTCTGACAAAAAAAAAACCTTGGAAAGAGCATTTTCAAATATCTGCAGCTTATATGCAATGGCTGCTCAGAAACTCCTGCATATAGTTTACAGCAATATTGGAGATAAGGACTACTATGTACTTCTGTTTGAAGCTCACTTATCGCTGAGAGACTGATATAGAACGCTAGTACTCAAAAGACACACAAAACAAAAAAACAGCCACCCCAAACTTCAAACAACAACAAACAACCCCACAACATTTCTTTACCTCTTCTCTCTCCCCAGTAACTCTCTTTTGGGGGGAAAAGGAGAAAGAAACAGAATTGAGAAAGAAATAGCTGTTTCACCAACTTACCAGAAATATCTAGCTCATTTCATTCTTTTTTAAATCACACAGATACATTATTTATACATTTTGTTCTGAATAATGGGGGGAGGGGAGGGTGTTCATAAAAAGGTAAGGCAATTTAAGAGATTTGCTACTGTCTGCAGTACTTTATAGATACATAATACAGAATGAAGTCACAGGTAGGAAACCAGTCAAGACACACAGATAAACAAATTTACTTTCCTTAATCTCTTCACAGACACACTCCACCTCCACCAGGATCTAGGCAGTCCTAGCTGAAGATTCAGACAGCAAAGATGAACTTGGACAGTGAGCCATGCTATACTGTTCCCAGGGAACTGAATGTTAAGAAATGTCTCACTATTTTTATCTGGCAGGAGCACAACACAATTTGTTTGATAATTCTTTTTGAAAAGGCCAGGCTGAAGTATTAGCATAGACTAGGTCAGCATTTACAGCTGTTTGAAAAAGTCCATTACCTATTCTTACAACAAGTCAGAGGTAAAGCCCAATTTGTAAATATGAAACCCTCATAATTCACCATGTGAATAATGAAAAAGGGGAAACATGGATGAAATTCCTCATGCAGCGCACCAAATCCCCAGGAACGCAGATGTAGCTAACATGTCCAAAAGCAAACATGTTTCACTAAGACCTGACTTTCATGGGTTAAAAATGGATTGAAAAGACACCAAGCAATTAAGCAGTCTAGACTTTCACTTGGAGGTCAAGGAACTGCCAGGCAGTTTTTAGAAGCTCAGATTTCTGTGGTGACCTTCTGTTGGTGGAAGATTGCAAACGTGTAGGCAATTCAGCTGAATCTTCCAGAAAACTGAGCAGTTACTTTATAATTTGTGGAGATTTTCAAAGACACAGCAATTAGGTGCTTAATGCTTTCTGAGTGCCAGGGGAAGATAAACACCCAGTCATTGCTATCTGAAAATAGCCACCCCTATATTTGTTTGCATATTTCAATTTGAGTTTTAGGAAAGATTTTCCCCTGAGTACTTATCTTCTAGCCTTACAGCATTGACTGTTAATAATTAATAACTGTGCCTCATCTCTACTACAGAGTATTCATGCTATATTTATTCCAAGATTAATTAGCTGTTATAGCTAGGACCAGATTAAGGTTCCTATAAATTCATCAAAGAGTTTCTGCAGGAATTTTCAAATGAAAATCATCTGGCTTTGCAAAATGCTTTTTCAATGTATCCATCTTTTTTTTTAACAATTTTGCTGAAAAAGAAGAAAAAATCCTTGAAGGAAAGAAGAATATAGCATTTCGAGTTAGCTTGTCAGGCCAAATTTTAAAAGCATTTTAAATCTTCTACTGCAAAAATTTGTCATTAGTACTGTATGCCACACTGCCTGGCGGGAACAGACCTTAGGTGTTTCCAATTCTTTCTTGTAAGGCTAACACCTCATAAGACAAAAAAAAACAGACAAACAAAACACGTCAGATGTAAACTTGGAACCAGAGACAAGAATCTTTACTTTCTCTCCTTGCACTAAAATATGCAAACTAGTGGGAGAAAAAAGACCCAACAACCTTATACAGTTTCATTTTTGCCTCATGTATTTCACACTGTTGTCCATAAAGGCTGCTTTAATCGGATGATGGCCTACACCCTCAAACCAGCTTGGCTTTATAAGCCATAGTACTTAATGTTCAACAGAAATCATTCCTGCAGAGGCTGAGCCTCCCATTTCCTTGATGGTGTGTTAGCAACATGGTTGTTGCCCAATGGAGAAGAAAAGACTTTGATCCTAATCCAGCTAAAACCTATTACCAAGGAGGTGAATAAGGTGTGAGTTCAGTACTGACAATTTCTACTCTCTTCTGCTGAAAGAGTTTTGAGTAGCAGCTGTGTATCTAGATGGTCAGACAGACATCCTCACAGAAGCAGAAGGTAGAGAGAAAGTTGCTTAGAGATCTTGAAGGTCAGTCATGGGATAGCTAATGAGTCTTGGTGCTTCAAGTGCCAGTGGTGACTAAGCAAACTATTACGGATATCACTTCTGGTCCTGGGATCCTAAAATATGCTGAGAATTGCCTTCTGAATAAGGTTTCGTTGCAACTGCATGCTGTGTTTCAATCTAGTGCAATTTTTACTTTGTAAATACAGTCCTCACCTCTGATCAGCCTTTAAGTGGCACTGAGTAGTCATTAGCGAGGCCAGGTGTGCTCTTGCTTACCCACAAATGCTGAACAGCTGATGTGCTACCACCTTCCACAGCAAAAACTCAGGTTGAGCAAGGACACCATGCAAGGATAAAAGCACCATTCTAGAAAGTCATTTTAACTCTTCAAACACTGATGTGCTTTTAGTAAAGATGCTTCAGACAACAACCTGTTTCAAATGAAGTCATTTACTGAGAAGCTCAGGCAGGACTGAGCTTGGTCTCAGTATAGCACAGGGTTAAGGGTTTTAGAATAAGAAGCAGGGAGAAAAGAGGACACAATGTACCACATCTACTTTTACAGCCCTTGTAAGGGGTCAGGTGTTATTAAAATCCCCACACTGTTCTTCCTCTATATTGCAACAGCCACTCCACAGTGCAAAGATGTGTGCTCCACTCCCCTCTTCCTATGGACTCCTGCATAAGACTGGCATAAACCAAAGACCATCTCCTAAAAATCTGCCAAGCCAAAAGCAGGAGCTTGGGACCTGATCAACCAGAAGTCCAATGAATTCAGTGAAAACTCTTTCCCCTTCTCCAACACAAGAGGCTTTTGATTCAGTCCCTGTGTTTGCAAGAGGAGCAGTAATGAAGGGGCAACCAAAAGTGGCCAAATGCCATGAATACTTAAATCCCCCTCAGCAAGCAATACTCAGTCAAGTGCTCAGATGTGCATACAGTAAAAGAGAATCAGAAGAACCTGCAGATGTCACAAGAACATTCTAGCTAGGCAAGGACTGGATTTGAAGACTTTGTTTAATGGACAGAAGAGACCAGGAGAATGGAGATACACGCTGAAACACTGCTAGAAAAGTAATAAAAATAATTTTATTTAAACCTCAACCCTATATTAATCTTGAAAACAAATACCTAACCTTTTTCTTGAATGAAATGAAAAGCAAATCAAAATCAATTTGCTTTAGCCTCAAGGCAGTGACTTGCACCAGGTCACCGCCTGCCAAAAGTTAGTCTCAAAAAAAAAATCATAACAGTATCCAAAGCTAATGGCAGGTCAGACATAGGAATTAATTGGGTGCCAACTCTATACCGGCGTAACAGATGCCAAATGACCCAGGGCACCCTGTATGTCTCCTTCTTCATGACCTGAGGCTTATATCATTTTTTCATGGCTTCAAGAACCTCTATACCAAGAATATTAATATTGTTCTATTGCAGCAAAGGAGCTGTACTGTTCCCAAAATCAGAGCATTGACTCTGGTTAGTGGTATGCCAAGCAGGAAGAAACAATGTACATAACTATGACAAAAATTAATCTC